TCAGTAACAGTAGGGAAACAAGGAAATTTTCTGACATCCAAATCAATGCCACTTTCTGAATTCTCTTATAGTTCAGTATCTTTAAGGAAAAAAAGATAATAATGAAGATTTGGCTTTTTGATGGACTTCCCCATAGGAGATCATCTCGATAGCAACGCTGAAAATAAAGGAAGGGATATACCTGCTGCATCAGCTTGCTCTTCCCTGGGGATCCTGTCCTGGCATGTGTCTTTTCTTCCAGCCCCCCAGGCCTAATTTCTCATCACCACTCAGCCTTCAACTCCAGAGTCCAGGGACGAGCCCCTGAGGCAGTGGCCTGACTCGCCCTGTTGACAGAGCTCACAGGCTCCAACTCAGACCGGACGCTAGTTGCCGACTTCCGGTCACGGTGGAGCAAGATTTCAGAGCAAGCCCTCTCCAGCCCAGCCGCTCTTCTCTGAAGGCCAAACGGGAAGTGTTATTACCAGGTCTCAGCTTTCGAATGGGAGCTCTGCTACAAGTTCTCTTGGTTACTCCTTGCCGTTTCAAGATTTGAGAACAAGAGAGTCCATGCGAGCAAGACCAGAGCCAAACTGCTGATTCTTACTTTTGAGAAAATGAAAATGGAAGTGTCAAAGTCAGCGCAGGTCACAGGCCATCTGTAACCAGCAGAAGAATAGCAAGTAAATGGAATCGAGAAAAACAGAAAAGACCGTGATGGCCTGGTCGAAGCCACAAACCCTGGGGGTTACTTAGGGAGTTCTGGGGTTTTTGGTTTTCCCTATATTAAGACACAAGATGTACCTAAGGAGATCCAACCAGTCAACCCTAAAGGAAATCAAACCTGAATATTCATTGGAAGGACTGATGCTGAACCTGAAGCCCTAATACTTTGGCCACCCGATGCAAAGAGCTGACTCATTGGAAAAGACCCTGATGTTGGGAAAGATCGAAGGCAGGAAGAGAAGCGGACGACAGAGGATGAGACGGTTGGATGGCATCACCGACTCGATGGACATGAAGTTGAGCAAACTGCAGGAGGGGAGCCTGGGGCGCTGCAGTCCGTGGGGTCGAAAAAAGTTGGACACGACGTAGTGACCGAACAACAGCAATGACGTAATAAATGGAAATATAAAGTGTTTCTTTTTGCCTAGAACACCACAGAAAACATTACTAAGATAATCGATGGTTCCCTGAACAGATGTTTGCGACTGTCTGGCATATGAACATTTGGGGGTTAGGCTTGAAGAATATACAAGAACTGTGAAAGACCAATGATTTTGAGCTATACACACACAAACACACTTATTTTCCATCTGAGACTGTGCAAGCAAGATAGAAGCAGATTTAACCAATTTGTTCTGATTACATCAGTGTGACCAAACACAGTCATGAGAATAATGGATGGATAATGGATGGTTCCCCCACAGAGGCTGATGGATCTCGCCAGGTGGAAAGCTGTGGACAATCTTACTGATATTTTGTCATCATATACACACACCTGTGTGAGTTCTTTCTCTTTTAGTCGCCCTTGGGAGGCTCTATACTTATTCCAGGAAGGTTGACTTTGTGTAAAAACACAACACGCATTTTTTTGAGAAATCTAAATTTGAAATTATCTTCAGAGCCCATGGCTTTTTTCAGAGCCCATGGTGTTTTTCAAAAGACATTGAAAAGCTTTACTGGTTATGAAATGTCAGGCTTCTTGGAAGTAGATTTTTTTTTAACCAGAAACATCAATAAAATACATATTTTTAAAGTTTTAATGGTAAAACTCCAGTTCTGGGGGCAAATTTGCCTTCTAGAATTTGCCAAACACTACTTGATGCTAAGTCTGAAAAACCAAGTAGGTAAAACCAAGAGGGAAAAATACCTGGTAAGGATTTTTATTAAAAGAAACAAACCAGTAAGGAGTAGTTAGCATTCCACACATTGCACGTATGGGAGAGGAAGTGGATACTGAAGCCTTTTCTGTAAGAGACGTGACCAAAATATTTTAGAAAATAACCCTGAAGGTGGCTCCTCTAAAGGGCAGTAGTGATACATACACATAAGTGGCCACTGCCCTAAAAGTCATTCCCATTGTTTCTGGCATACCTCTGAAGTCAGCAATACAGAGAGAGATGGATAGTTCATAAAATCTATATCATATGGGTGATTATGTCACACCAAATCAAGTAGATTTGGGGGGAAAAGAACATTATCTCCTTTATAGAGATAAATGGACTTTCTAATACACTGATAAATATAGGCAAGGCTGATATCCATGCTGGTAGCACATTAAATAGTGTGCTGGCCACAAAGCTCATTCGGTTTTCTCTATAATATAACAAACATCTTACAGAAAACCTGGGCTTCCGTGGTAGCTCAGCTGGTGAAGAATTGGCCTGCAATGCAGGAGACACTGGTGCAATTCCTGGGTCAGGAAGATCTGCTGGAGAAGGGATAGGCTACCCATCCCAGTATTGTCGGGCTTCCGTGGTGGTCCAGGGGTAAAGAATCTGTCTGCAGTGCGAGAGACCTGGGTTTGATCCCCGGGTGGAGAAGATTCCCTGGAGGAGGGTGTGGCAGCCCACTCCAGGATTCTTGCCTGGAGAATCCCATGGACAGAGGAGCCCGGCAGGCTGCAGTTCACGGGGTCACAGAGAGTCAGACACACCTGAGCACATGGAAAAACTGGCATGAACCTTGTGGCCAATCCAATATTTTGCATATCATCCCTGGATAGGAATATCTTCTCTCTTTCTTTACACACACACACACACACACATGTATGTGTGTATGTACATGACATTCCTAACATATATCAACTTAAATATAGATTACACATCTCTTTATTTCAGAATTAGTTGTTTAGAACTTATAACAGTTCTAAAAAAAAATTAAATTTAGACTTGGAAGGCTAATAGGCCATTCTACTTTAGGACACAAGATACCCAATCACCACGGAACACACTGCTTCTACAGGGAAAAGGTGTCCCAAATTTCAAATCAGGATTCCGTCTCTCTTCAGTGGGGAGTAGGCCAGTGTTCTCAGCCCTGTTGCAGGTCAGAACACATGAGTGACTTGTAAAAAGTACCAGCTGCCAGGTCCTACCCTGACCAACTCAGTGAGGACCTCCGGGCCCTTGGTAGCGACGGTTCACAGGCCCCCGGTGAGTCCACTCTGCATCCGGGCTGAGAACCACCACCCACTGCTTCTCCACCCAGGGCGCTTATTTGCAAGCTCAGGCCCTGGGCTCACAGACAGGAGAGGTGAACACATGAGGAACACGGTTAGTCAAGAATATTTCAAAGGAAAAATCACACTGGACAAGAGGCAAGAGTCACCGAAGTCTGACCAGAGAGACGTTCTGCATAAAAATTTCACCAAAAGCCGTCATGAAATGGCCTCAGATTTTTTTTTTTTCTATTTTCTTTTTAAGAAGATGGATGTGTTATTCTTGTGATTCTTCCCTCTGCATCTCAAAGACAGAAACTTTCAGATTTAGAAAAGAGGACAGGAAAGTGAATGGCCGTGACCACTGGGATAATTCTCTTTTTTTCTGGCTGGAAAAAGATGAGACAGGAGTAGCATCAAAGCAGATGAGTTGGACGTTTATCAAACAGGTGCGTCTTGGAAATGAAGATGAACAAGTGGACGGACATGCCTTCCTTTCTCTGGGCGTAGGCCAGATGCTGAGAACAAGGGGTAAATGCAAAGAAAGACAGGACTGCACTTCAAAAGCCAAAAGAAAGAGACAGGACTGTACTTGGAGTGCTCAAGGGAACAATGCCGTCTCCGTATTTGTGAACTTGAGGCAAAGAAAGGAGCAGACTGTGTTCTCTTTGGAAAATTTTTTAAATCTCTTTTTAAAATAAAATCCCTCTGCCCTTGTGCTTCAGGAGTAGCTTCGTATTAACACAACGTCCCAAAGCAATGCTTCCCGGCTGTCACGGGTGTATCTTCCCTGTGAACCACTTCACTCCCTGACCTTCCAAGAACCCAGACCCCAGATCAGAGAACCCTCGGGTGTCTCTGGCCACGAGAAAGAGCTTCTGCTGCTTCATCAGCCTGCTGGGAATCCATCACGGAGCCAGCCTCCCGCCACGCAGCAAGCCCCCACCAGAGGCGGCGCCTCGGGCTCAGCAGTCAGCCCAAGAATTCAGCCTGCGCCCCACGATCTTCCCACCTCAAAAAGAAACTGCTCCCCGCCTTTATTTTTCTTCTACTGCAGCCCTTCCCTTTACCAGAAGGTTCTTTTGTGAATAGAAAACCAAACCAAAAGAAGCAGGATGACAGTCAGGACAGAGGCAGTCCCTGGGCGCACACTTTGCAAGAGGCCCCGGCAGAGGCGGGCACTGGTTCTCTGCGCGCGGAGACAAACTGCCCCTCAGGACTGACAAACCTCCTCCTTACCAAGGATGGATGTCACTTATAATAGCCTTTCGCAGGATTTGTGACGTCACACACACACGTAGAGGGGTAGACAGGTGATGGAAAACCACGCTGCAAATCACATTCCACTATTACTACACCACAGAGGCCAAGAGGACAGTCAGATCTGTGACTCTCTGAGCTGTGCCAAGAGTGATTTTGTGTCTTCCAAAGTTGGGAAAATCGTGTATGACCAGGCAACGCTGCCGTGTCACCTGAGTACGCGGTGATGACCCCGGGTGGAGCAGAAACTGAGGGACGCAGCGGCAGCCACAATCTGGAACAGACGCTTCACATGAGCTCCTGGTGGATGCTTTTATCAGAATCCCAAAGATGCGCGTGAAATAATTTCTTCTGGACCACAGGCACGATCGAACTTAAAAAATGAAAAAGCCTATAAATACTGCCAACCCAATCTTGTCTTTTGTCTCCCCCTCCTAGCATAAAATGGAATCTTGTCAACCAAGTGCTTAAACATAAATATTAAAATAATAAGTGGGACAGACCACAGATCTACTTACAGTTTCATCATGACCATAGCACCTTTTTTACCTTTTTACCAATGCATCCGTTTCGTAAAGAACAGAAGTCTGAAAAGCTTATGGACTCATATGACACATCATTAAATATTTAATCACCTTTTTAAGTCCTAAGCTTCATCATATTTCATCCATCTAGACAGTTCATTCTATAACTATAGATTCCAAGGCCCCCTTTGGAGGGGGAAAAAAAGAGAAAATGGGGAGAAAAAAAACCTTCTGAGAGGCAGGGTTAAATTATCTCAAAGATGAGTTTCTATTGGCGCTTTAGTGAACATCAGCCTGTAAACCCACCAATCCACAGGAGGGTCAACCGATGGAGTCCATGGTATTTAGTCTCCAAGAATCGATTTTACAAAAGATGCCACGTCTGTCGCTTTGGATTCGTGTAGGGTGAAAAACGGATGTTGCTGGTGAAGAAAAGAAAAATGCCTGCAGTTAATACCGGCCTCTGACAACGCGTGAGATTAGCAATGGGGGCAGACCTGGTTAGTTAACACAGTGAGTGCCCCATCAGGGCTAAACTAGATCCTTCCCTCCCTTCCCAAACCAAGTAACCAAGCACACACTCGGGGATGCAGACTTCTAAAGGCGTCGTTGAGGCGCTGCTCCTCCTGTCTTGGCGTCGCTTTGATTCCATGACAGAGTATCCACTGCTTTAAAATATACACATGTAACCAGGCTATGTACATCCCACGCATGTGTGCTAAGCACGCGTGCTAAGCTGCTTCAGTTGTGTCCGACTCTGTGCGACCTGATGGACCGTAGCCCGCCAGGCTCCTCTGTCCACGGGGTTCTCTGGGCACGAACACTGGAGTGGGTTGCCATTCCCTTCTCCAGGGGATCCTCGCAACCCAGGGATCGAGCCCGCGTCTCTTACGGCTTCTGCATTGGCAGGCAGGTTCTTTACCACTGGTGCCACCAGGGAAGCCTGTATACATCCCATCAATGGGTAAATACAAGGAAGAGCAGAGATGGCTCAGAGATTCAGTTTACAAATAACCCTGTCACCTAGAAAGTAGTCTTCAGACAAGGCAGCAAAACAATAAGACGGTTAGAGATTTACGCACAGTCAGTCCCCGAGAAGTGAGCGGTCGAGTGAGAAGCCAGTTTTTGGAACAATGAACGGGCCTTGCTTGCGCTCAACACTGGAGAACTGGTTTGCACTGAAACAGCGAGCAGTGGTGCTTCTTACGTCTCGTCTACTGACAACAGGGCTTCCCTGGTAGCTCAGACATTTTACAAAAGATGCCACGTCTGTCGCTTTGGATTCGTGTAGGGTGAAAAACGGATGTTGCTGGTGAAGAAAAGAAAAATGCCTGCAGTTAATACTGGCCTCTGACAACGCGTGAGATTAGCAATGGGGGCAGACCTGGTTAGTTAACACAGTGAGTGCCCCATCAGGGCTAAACTAGATCCTTCCCTCCCTTCCCAAACCAAGTAACCAAGCACACACTCGGGGATGCAGACTTCTAAAGGCGTCGTTGAGGCGCTGCTCCTCCTGTCTTGGCGTCGCTTTGATTCCATGACAGAGTATCCACTGCTTTAAAATATACACATGTAACCAGGCTATGTACATCCCACGCATGTGTGCTAAGCACGCGTGCTAAGCTGCTTCAGTTGTGTCCGACTCTGTGCGACCTGATGGACCGTAGCCCGCCAGGCTCCTCTGTCCACGGGGTTCTCTGGGCACGAACACTGGAGTGGGTTGCCATTCCCTTCTCCAGGGGATCCTCGCAACCCAGGGATCGAGCCCGCGTCTCTTACGGCTTCTGCATTGGCAGGCAGGTTCTTTACCACTGGTGCCACCAGGGAAGCCTGTATACATCCCATCAATGGGTAAATACAAGGAAGAGCAGAGATGGCTCAGAGATTCAGTTTACAAATAACCCTGTCACCTAGAAAGTAATCTTCAGACAAGGCAGCAAAACAATAAGACGGTTAGAGATTTACGCACAGTCAGTCCCCGAGAAGTGAGCGGTCGAGTGAGAAGCCAGTTTTTGGAACAATGAACGGGCCTTGCTTGCGCTCAACACTGGAGAACTGGTTTGCACTGAAACAGCGAGCAGTGGTGCTTCTTACGTCTCGTCTACTGATAACAGGGCTTCCCTGGTAGCTCAGACAGTAAAGAATCCGCCTGCAATGTGGCAGACCTGGGCTTGATCCCTGGGAGGATCCCCTGGAGGAGGGCATGGCAACCCTCTCCAGTACTCTTGCCTGGAGAATCCCATGGACACAGGAGCCTGGCGGGCTACAGGCCGTGGGGTCGCAAAGACTCAGACACAACTGAACCACTACGCACAGCACATTGATAACAAGTGATGCTTATGTCTCTCGACGATGACCTGATCCATGTGGAAAATAAAGCAGCCTGCCCAACCCTAGGTCTGCGCGGAGAAAATTCATCTTGGGAGATTAAAAATCGAGAAGCAAAAAGGTGGTCTGTGCTTATGCTGCTCAGATTTAGTAAACTTTATGTCAAGTCCTGCTCTTTGCCGGGGGAAGAAGCATGGTCCAACGCAGGAAGCCACGCATTTCCAAACGATTCTGAAGGAAACGAACCCGCGGGCTCTGCCCCAGGACCGTCCTCCTCGAATAGCTCAACTCCCTGATGGGAAGCGCCTGGCTGACACCCGGGAGCCTCACACCTCCAGTTAGAAGTGGACACATCGGCTCACGGTCCACAGTCCTCCCACTGCAATCAGAACCAAGCGATCAAACCAAAAAGAACAATTCCTCCAGGCAGAACCTAGAGCCTGAGCTGGCAGGGCCCCCTCCCAACTGTCTGGGGGCATTGCTCCTCTCAGGGACCCGTCAACAGCTAAACATGAGCATTTCTGCACACAGACAGGTCGGTAACTCACGCCGCTTCCCCTGACTTTGAGGGTTTTAGTTCACAGCCTACGTGTTGCCTAGTTCTAGGTTTTCTAACTATATTTGTTTTAAACCTGAGAGCAGAGGGCTGGATGACTCAGCCCTGTGGGAACCTGGAATGCCCACCCATGGACGTTTTAGAAAACAATGCAAAGAGGAAAGGAACAAAGAAAGCATATTAACCAGACCTCCAGGTGCCGGGGCAGCCTCTGGATCCCCTTGGATGAATAAAGGGCAGGACTACTTCTGATCACTAGCCACTTACACAGCACCCTTGCCAAGTGTTTTACTATCGTCCTTATTAGCTTTCGCACATCCTCTCGACATTCAGAGATCTTGTCATGCACTTTGAAGCCTTTCACTATCAAAACAGGACCTGTCCAGTCTCAGGAACTACTCCCGCCCGCCAGCCCCATCCTGGCTTTTGGTCAGCGGGTGGTCATTAGCTCAGGGGATCCAGCCTGGGTCTGTGATGGAATTCAATAACTGGACCTGAAGTCTCAAAAACAACAAAAAAACACAACTCCTCAGGCACCTTTCGGTTTATTCTCAGGCTGGGAAAACACCGTGGGAGCCAGGGGCTGCGGCAGGGGAGCAGGCGGGCGTGTGGACATGGACAGTGTGACGTGTCTCCTTGTGTGGGTTTTGAGGCTATAAAAGGTTGGGAGGGAACCAGTCCCTTCCAGAAGCAACCGACTAAGAATAGCAAGGATAGCAGCCAGGAGACACCGTGGAATCGCCCCCAGACCACAGACCCAGGCTGGGCTTCTCAGAAGGAGTGGCAGGGAGGGCACTGGACTTCCCTGCTGGTCAAGTGGTGAAAAATCCCGCCTGCCGACGCAGGGGACACGGTTCGATCCCTGGTCCGGGAAGAGCCCGTGTGTCACGGGCCAACTGAGCATCTGCATCACGGCTACTGAAGCCAGCGTGCCCTAGCGTACGCACCAAGATGAAGAGAGGCGCCCGACCTCTGCAACTGAAGAAAGCCCGTGCGCAGCAATAAAGACCCAGCACCACCCAGCGTGGCCATTAATTCATTAATTAAGAGGGGCCAGGTACAGGGGGACCTTGAACACCCTGCCTGGAGCATCACCACCAGCACCAAGAGTCTCCAGCTCCCCTGCAAGACCACGGTTTAGGAGGTCAGTCAGCCCCGCAGAGGGCTTTCCTGGAGGCCCAGACGGTGAGGAACCCGCCTGCCAATGCAGAAGACGCAGGCTTGACCCCTGGGTGGGAAAGATCCCCAGGAGAAGGGAATGGCAACCCACTCCCGTGTTCTTGCCTGGAGAATCCCATGGACAGAGGGGCCTGGCAAGCTGCACTCCATGAAGTCACAGAGTCGGACACAACTCAGCAACGAAATAACGTCTCTGTTTAACAATGTGGTTCCATCTAGGACATCCCAGGACATTCAGAGGACAGAATCACCTCCCTGGGCCACCACGTGAGTCACCTGGGTTTTGTTTCTGGTGGTTTTCACCTAGGACAGGGGCCAACAATTGATGGACCAGAAGCCAAACCCAGCGGGCTGCCTGTTTCTGAAATAAAGTTTTATCAGTACACAGCCGCACTCCTGTGTCTACCCACTGGATATGGCAGCTCTCACGCTAAGACAGGAGTCAAGCTGTCCCAGCAGCCCCCAGAGCCTGAAGTATTTACTGTCTGTCTTTCTTGTCCGACTCTTCTACAACCCTGCGGACTGCAGCCCGCAAGGCTCCCCCATCCATGCGATTCTCCAAGTGAAAACCACTGGAGTGGGTTGCCATTTTCTTCTCCAGGGGATCTTCGCGACCCAGGGATCGAACCTGCGTGTCCTGCGTGGACAGTTTGTTTACCACGAGCCGCCTGGCAAGCCCGAACCCTGTCTATCTAATAATCCTTCACAAAAACGCTGGCGGGCCCCCTACCCCAAAGAACAAGTCCTGCTCAGTTACGGCCCCCAGCGGGAGCTTGAACGAGAAAGCAAATGAGATGACCTTAAAGCCTGTCCACGCCTCAACCCAAACAGGGAAAAAACACTTGGGATTTCTGTAAGAGGGACATGTCTGGGTTGGGGCCTTAATTACACTGTTCTTCACCTTTCTACCTCTTCACCAACTCCTACAGCCTCAACAATCGCCTCTCAGCATGTGTTCTCCCGAGGCTTCAGTCGAAGCATTTGGACTCAGAGTTTCCACTGAGAAACCTCAATCCCACGGGAGAGCAGGAGGCAGGCGTGACCTCACAAGGCAAGTCCATGCCCAGCGCCAGGAAGACGACTGCCCTGTGAGAGGCCGGGGTGGGGGGTGACCCGCAGGGCCCTGCAGCGCTAATGTGACTACCCCAAAGAACAAGTCCTGCTCAGTTACGGCCCCCAGCGGGAGCTTGAACGAGAAAGCAAATGAGATGACCTTAAAGCCTGTCCACGCCTCAGCCCAAACAGGGAAAAAACATTTGGGATTTCTGTAAGAGGGACATGTCTGGGTTGGGGCCTTAATTACACTGTTCTTCACCTTTCTACCTCCTCACCAACTCCTACAGCCTCAACAATCGCCTCTCAGCATGTGTCCTCCCGAGGCTTCAGTCGAAGCATTTGGACTCAGAGTTTACACTGAGAAACCTCAATCCCACGGGAGAGCAGGAGGCAGGCGTGACCTCACAAGGCAAGTCCATGCCCAGCGCCAGGAAGACGACTGCCCTGTGAGAGGCCAGGGTGGGGGGTGACCCGCAGGGCCCTGCAGCGCTAATGTGCAGACCGCCAGCGCCCACGGGTCAGGAGAGGCGCAAAGGCAGATTCAGCATCAGTTGCCCGAGGGCGTTAAGCGAGGACGCAGCAATTTTTCTCAAGTGTGCTCCATTGAAACCTCTGATAAGAAGTCACTTGGAAGGGGGAAAATAATGGCATGCATTTTCAATAGTCAGATCTATATAAAAAACATACTTTTATCTGAAAAAAAAAATAGTGACAAACAAGGCCCCTTTAAAACAAGAGGACCGAACCCCCCCCCCAACCGCTGTATGCAGGTTGCACTTTATGTGGAATCCAAGTGTAAAATGCTCTGGGGGCTGCGCAAGAATTCCAAGACAAAGTAGCTAGGATTGAAAAGGCCCTGACTGGCTATTATCGACACAATCGGAGAGGAAATGTTTAACCCAAACATGCGGCAGGCTGAGACTTTCTCAGGCATGACTCATCTCCCCTTCTGCCTCAACTGTGGGTGTTGGATGAATGCTGAGTCCCCAGGGGCTGCCTTTATACTTCATTGTGCTAACTTTTAAAATTTTTTTATTTATTTATTGGCCACGCCGAGTGACATGTAGGATCTTAGTTCCCTGACCAGGGATCAAACCCGTGACTCCTGCGGTGGAAATGCAGAGTCCTAACCACTGGACCACCAGGGAAGTCCCGGGACTGCCTTTCTATTTTACTGGCTTATTGTTATTTATTTATTTACTGGCCACGCTGCGAGGCTTTCAGGATCTTAGTTCCCAGACCAGGGATTGAACCCACGTCCCCTGCAGTACAGGCACGGAGTCTGAGCCCCTGGACCGTCAGGAAAATCCCAGGGCTGCCTTTTTAAAGGGGACAAAGATGGCCAAGAAGGATGCCCAGTCCGTCTCTCCTCAAACTCTTCCCAGCATCTATTCACAGTCACCCAGTCGACGTGTGGTTCAGACTTAAAATTCAAGCTTAACCAGAAGAACTGAAAATCTATGGGATCTGCCGAGACCATCCAGGTCTGCTCTCTCGTCTCCTGGCAACTTTCAAGTATACAGTCGAGTATTATTAACTCTAGTCCCTACGCTGTGCTTTATACCCCCGGATCTTATTCATCTGGTAAACAGAAGCTTGTGTTCTTTGACCACCTTTATCCGTTCCCCCAACCCACCCACCCCTGGCAACCACCAGTCTAAGCTCCGTAAGTTGTTTTTTTAAGATTCCACATTTAAGTGAGATCATGCAGTATTTGCTTTTTCTGTCTGACTTATTTCACTTAGAATAATGCCCTCTAGCTTTACCCACGTTGTTGTAAATAACAGGATTTCCTTTTTTAATGCTTGAGTAATATTCCATTGTGTATGCGTGTGTATATGTATTATGTTTTCTTTATCTATGCATTCATTAACGGACACTCAGATTATTTCTACATCTTGGCCAAGATAAATAATGTTGCAGTGAACTTGGGGGTTCAGATATTTCTTCAAGATAGTGATTTCATTTCCTTCATATCTATGCCCAGAAGTGGAATCATTAATCATAAAATGGTGCTATTTTTAATTTCGTGAGGTTTTCTATCCTGCCTGCACCAGTTCACATCCCACCAGGGAGCCTCTTTTCTCTGCATCTTACCCAGAGTTCCTCTCTTAGCTTTCAAACCTTCCAGATGTGAGATGATATCTGACTGCATTTTTTAAAATAATATGTTCTTTTTTAAAAGACTTTTTTTTTTTTTGATGTGGACCATTTTTAAAGTCCTTGTTGAATTTGTTACAATATCACTTCTATTTTATGTTCTGGTTTTCTGGCCATGAGGCACATGGGATCTTAACTCCCTGAGTAAGGATCGAACTGGCACCCCCTGCATTAGGAAGGCAGAGAGTTAACTGCTAGCCCACCAGGGAAATTCAGATCATAATTTAGATGTCATTCACTTCCCCTGTTCCAACTGTTAGTCTGGACTCATCTACACCCCTAACAATACTCACCATAAGCTCTGGATATGTTGGCCTTTCTTTGGAATTCTTCTTCAAGCTTAAAGGGAAAAGAAAAATCACATTAAAATCTAGAAACCATCTGTGTTTCCACTAGACTAGGATCTCAGAACCTGCAGAAGACTAAGCAGAACCATCCTTAAAAATGTGCTGAAAACATAAACCCTCGCCTTGACTTTCCTCTTCAGCTACACCTACCAACGGTGTTTCCAATCACTCTGTACCTCAACAGGAAGGGTAAGGGTGTGTGTGTTTACTTTCGTTGTGTTTCTTTACCAAAGACATAAAAACGAGCTTTTATTATATGTCAAAATACATATTCACGTTCCTTCAAAACACCTTTCAATCCATCCCTTCTTGCAAAGGCATTGGCAGGTGTTTCTAAATCACGTTTGTTATCTCCTCACTGTCTCCAATAGCTGGTTCTCTCTGCTTCTGATCCCCTTCCAGGCACAATCTGCTTTTATGTGCTCCCTGATGAACCTGCTTGAGACGGAAGCAGTACGGACGTAGCATGTGCCTAAGACCTCCCGGCTGCTGACCGAGAGAGCACGCTGGCCGTGGACTCAGCACGCTGGCCGTGGACTCAGCAGGGCTTCTTCTTAGAAACACCTAGTGGACCTGCGCTGCCGTGAAGGGGCGCCCAGCACCCAGCTGTCCGCCCACAGAACTCTTAATCACACCCGATACCAGAGGCAACAGTCATAACACCCCAGAGAGAAGAGACCCACCCCTCCATCCACCTGCAGCCTGAAAATGGAAGAGGAAAGAGTTTACTTGGCGCTGGAACCCCAGACTACAGAACAGAGGGAGGGATGATTTTGAAAAGTACGATCGGGAGGCAGCCTGCAGAGAGCCCTCTGCCCACGGGCCCTAAAATCATCCACGAGGGGAAAGGACGTCTGTCTGGCGTGGAAGAGACTCAAAAGGGGACGGGATATTGGGTGGCCAGGATCTGCGCTAATGGATCACCTGGAGCAAGTGAGACCTGTGAGGCGTGCCGTGAGCCCCGCTCCTCAGAGATAACAACGATCAACGGGAGGCCCCGATGCAGAGCCAGAGAGGGAAACGGCTGAAACACTCAGGGCTGGAAAAAACTCGAAATGGAAAAAAAAAGGAAGCTTTTTGAAGCAGAACAGCCGAGAGCAGCCTCCCCAGGGACTCCAGGCAGTGCCGCGGTGGAGGGCGGGGAGCCTGAGACGCAGGACGGGGAGCCTGAGACGCAGGACAGCTGCCCACTGTGGGCGGATCCAGCGCCCAGCGACCTCACCGCCCGGACATCTGGAGAGAGAGTGCTCCGTCTCAACTGAGGCTCAAACAAGAACGCGGGAGAAAGCAGGCCAGCAACGCCATGGCCAGGCTGGCGCGGGAAGGCGTGTCTGAGCGAAACGAGGCGACCTCCAGCCCCCACTGATGACGCCTCATGTGCCTACGTGCTGAGCCTCTAGAAGGCTCCACCAGCGGTTCCCAGCTGCAGGTGGTTTTGCCCTCCAAAGCACACTCAGAGACGTCTGCAGGCATTTCTGGTTAACGCAGCTGGTGGTGTTGGGGGCTGTAATTCACAACTAATAAGTAAAGACCGAGGCTGTTGCTCAACATCCCATAATGCCCAGGACAGTTCCCCAACAATAACTTTGATTTATCTTTCTTTCTTTTTTTGAGAAGTATAGGAAAACACACAACTATTGGAGAACGACGGCTCTACAATGTTGTGTTGGCTTCTGCCACATATCAAGATTTATTTTTAAAAAAATGAATTCCTAAAACTTCAAAGATTGCTGGTGAACAGGTTATTTTTGACTTATGGGCTCTGATTAGAAAGCTCAAAATGTACAAGCACTACTGCAGAATATTGACGGAAAATATTTACACAGCGCACCGAGGCTGTTTATTGATTTAACATAACTGATACAACCCATTCTCTCCACCTTTTAAATCAAGAACACTTCAAAACACGAGCTAAGAATAGCAAAATACTCAGGGTGAGGTTAGGGAGAAAAGCAAATTTTCCACGTTGAATAGGAAGCACTTGAAATTCAGTACAAAATAACAACTGTGGAGTTCAAAGCTACACCAATTTCTTTTTGGATCTGAGTCAGACTTTTGAATTTTCAAGTGGCTTGTCGTTTTCAAGCGTGCAATTAGCTAACTGCCCTAATTCCCCTTCCAAATGCCACAGCACACACTCCTGACCGTAGCTGACACCAAGACACGGCTTCGTGCCGTGCTGAGAACTGCTAGCTTCAGGCTTGTGCTGAGCCGAGGGTTTCTGCCCCTTTGAATCCCCCCAAGCTGACCGTTTCCCAGAAGGACTCCTGGGAGCGTCCGCAGAAGAAAAACACTGCTCGCCTCCTGACCCACACGTTTGTCCTGAGCTACGTAAATACCCAGGGCCTCTTTTCACTGTCCTTCCTGAACAAGCCAGCAACTATATCTGATCGTCTCTGTTCTGTGCCTGTTTCTCTGAGTCAGACAGGACCAGTGTCTGGGCGGGTCTCTGGCCACCAAGGGGCTTCGGGCCGGGGGACGGGGCACTGAGCTCTGAAACAGGCCTGAGCCTCAGCAGGAAGGAAGTCGAGCTTTGGGGCACTTGGCTCAGCTGGTCTCCAGGGAGCTACTCTCACTCCCCAAGCCTGTGTCCAACTGAAAGAGGTTAGGGTGAAAGAATGCAAGCCTGCCAAGATTCCATTTTTGCAGAAACTCTGTGAAACCTTCTGCAGGACCAGGGTGTAGGACTTTTCCATTTCTCTGCTGAGAAACGGCCAGTGTCTCCTGAGATAAGAAAGCCACGCGGGCCTCCCTGTGGCTCAGTGGTGAAGAATCCGCCTGCCAGAGCAGGGGACATGGCTTCGATCCCTGGTCCAGGAAGATCCCACACGGCGTGGGGCATTAAGCCCGCGTGCGCCCCNGGGCTATTATGTTCCCGGGGCATCCGCGGGGGCATCCACGTTGTCCCAGGAGAGCCGGAGGGCAACCGGGTGGGGACAGTCGGGTGAAACGTGCAGAGGGGACGCCAGTGATGCCATGTTCGCTAGCAGCGTGCTTCCACGTCCTGGAGCTAGGGGTGACATCGTCCAGGAGACAGCCCCTCAAGCCTGTGTAAAAGCGGGTCTTCACTAACAGGAAATCCACCCTGAATATTCACTGGAAGGACAGATGTTGAAGCTGAAACTCCAACAGTTTCGCCACCTGATGCAAAAAGCTGATTCATTTGGAAAGACCCTGATGCTGGGAAAGATTGAAGGCGGGAGGAGAAGGGGACGACAGAGGATGAGATGGTTGGATGGCATCACTGACTTGATGGACATGAGTTTGAGCAAGCTCTGGGAGATGGTGATGGACAGGGAGGCCTGGCGTGCTGCAGTCCAAGGGCTCACAGAGAGTCAGACACGATTGAGCGATTGAACAACCACAAGAACTGTCAGCTGACCAGCAGTGACCAGAGGGGTGTGACCACCAGGGGGAAGCCCCGGATGGAAAGCACAGCAGAAGAGGACGCAGCTCCTGGGACTAACCTGGGAGAAAACGGTCGGGCAAAGGCAGCCTCGTGGGTACGGCCGTGAAGACGCCCTGCGCCCTGCGGGCTGCGACACGGACAGCAGTCACACAGGAAGCTGCCACTTTCACAAACGTGTGCAAACATTAAAATTAGGAAACTTTTAGTTTTTCAAGGCTTTCATTTAAAAAAATAAAACCTGTGAAAAGCTTTAACACTCTGACTCTAGGGGAAGTTCTAAGTAAGAAGAAAAATCAATGAAAGATAAATAAAACAATTGAATGGTTACTCAATAAATTGTACAAGAGAAGTAGCTTTCTGAACAGCAGGCAGTTGACAACGGGTCCACAGATCGTAGGCCGAAGTCAGGGGTTCTGACCCCAGCCCTCCAGGAAAATGATGTGAGAACATCTGATCAACCCAGGTATTCAGGACCACCCCGTCCCAGACCAATCAAATCAGAATCTCTGAGGCCAAGCAGTACGTGATGCACATTTGAAAGGTCTGTTATGTTTAAAAGTCGGCAACCGGAGTTGAGAACCTTTAGATTAAACTGGTGATTCACACCAGGCCACTGGGCTTTGTCAAGCTTTTCATACCAGCTTTGTTCTTATCAAAGTTTTCTGAAGTTTCCAGAATCTTGGGGAAAAGGGAAGTGGGAGAAAGGTTATGAGGCAGAGAGTCTGAAAAGCTTCCTTAAATAATATCCTTCCTCCTTACCACCCCTCTTGAGAAGGATGGGTCTGAACCATCCAAGATGAATCATCCCTTTCCTCCGTGACCTTTAAGCCCTCGAGGACAAGGAAAACAAACAACAGACTCCAGGTTCTTGAAACCAGAAGGCACAATCCTGAAGCCATCTCAACCAGGCAGGTGTAACCCGACACCTGGCAGGCTCAGTCAAGGAGAGCAGAGAGGGGACATCACCCAGGCGTCCAGAGGATGCACTGATACGTATCCAGAGGCGCCCAACAGGCGAGCGTCACACAGCCCATCACGCCAGCCTCTCCGGCCATTCAGCCAAGACTAAAACAAAAACAATGGCATGTCAGCCTCACGCGTCCTTAGGGGAAAGGGCCAGGGGTGACGGGCCTAGAGCTGGTGAAAAACCCAAGGGGCCTTCGCTTCACAAGCAACAGACAGCCGCTTGGTATTACCACATTTTGCAGTAAAATCTGCATTCAGAAAGCTTCTTCCAAAGTGCGTGGAGGCCAAGGAAGGGTAACCTTGGGGGAAGCCAGCCTCTCCAACGGGCGGCAGAACAGCAACCCCTTTCTTAGCGCTAAGTGAGCAGAGCCGGACCCCCGGTGACCACAGCCCGGCTTCCCAGCATCTCCAACGGCCTCTGCCCCAGCTCACAGCTGCGCGGTGGGCGCCCAGGATCACCACCTGCGATCCGTCACGGCACCTTCTTTCCAGCGATGTAAATGATCATATGTATCAAGTCATGCCGGGCACCCTGGGCCCCGTGCAGGCGGAAATCACTAGGTTTTCCAGAGCAAACAATCCCCTCTCCTAGTTTCCTCACTTGCACCAGCGACTCCCATGAAAACAAACTCACAGCATCGGTACAGCTCCTTCCGTCTCTCCACTCCAACTTTATTTTCCCTTCTCAGACGTGCCCCCGCCCCAGCCGGTACCATCCACTGTCCACTTCCGGACAAGCAGGGCCAGCAGGGACCACGTCTTCTCTAAGAGTCCGCCTAAAACACCAGAATCACTCGGTGAGACTTCCAGGTGCCTAAGAGCAGCTCTGAACGTAGCCTCCGTCTTCTCACCCAGGGTGATTCTTTACATCCTATCTACTCTCCACCCGAGCCCTCCATTGGTACCCCACCTCTCTCTCTACGCTCTGGTCCACATCAAATGGCTCAGCCTCTGTGAAGGAGTTTCCCACTCCTGTGAGAGGGTGCGTGAGGTTCCTCCCGCCGGCAGCACCTTCTCCTCCTCCACTCCCTTTTCCCCAGCACACACCTCGTCTGGTCCCAGCTCAGGATGTATCTCCTCCAGAAACTCTCCCCTAGGGCCTTTGCTCTGAGTTCCCCCAAAGACCCAGTGCCCATCTCCCGTCTGGACCTGGGCTAGAATGACCGAGTGGGGACACTCCCCCCTGTGGCTCTGAGCTTAGCGGGGACCAGGCAGAGCCGTCTTTGTTGCTTAGCAACAGGATACACTCCGTCCACACTGGCGGTGGACATGGGCATGTGGATGAGACCGATGGAGGAAGTCAGGAGGACTCCGTCCGCCTTCACCCCGGCTTCTGGGAGGCGGGCCCTCTTACCACTGTGAGGTAAAGTCAACAAACTCTTCGGAGAACGTGTCTGCGGGCAGCTGCGGCGACGGCTCCTCCACCACCTGTTTGAGCTGCTGGAAAGGAGTCCCCCACGAGTCGTAGGGAAACCGGAGGATGGCCAGCTCGATCTGGAGGGGAGAGGCACACAGGAGATGAGAGCTGACTCTGGGCTATTATGTTCCCGGGGCATCCGCGGGGGCATCCACGTTGTCCCAGGAGAGCCGGAGGGCAACCGGGTGGGGACAGTCGGGTGAAACGTGCAGAGGGGACGCCAGTGATGCCATGTTCGCTAGCAGCGTGCTTCCACGTCCTGGAGCTAGGGGTGACATCGTCCAGGAGACAGCCCCTCAAGCCTGTGTAAAAGCGGGTCTTCACTAACAGGAAATCCACCCTGAATATTCACTGGAAGGACAGATGTTGAAGCTGAAACTCCAACAGTTTCGCCACCTGATGCAAAAAGCTGACTCATTTGAAAAGACCCTGATGCTGGGAAAGATTGAAGGCGGGAGGAGAAGGGGATGATGGAGGGTGAGATGGTTGGATGGCATCACCCACTCAACGGACATGGGTTTGAGCAAACTCCGGGAGCTGGTGATGGACAGGGAGGCCTGGAGTGCTGCGGTTCATGGGGTTGCAANAGCGACTGAAGAACCGCCTCACTGAAACCCAGAGCGGCTCTTCATGAAACTGAGGGCCAGCTGTGTGCAACCTCAGGGTGAAAGCGGCCAGGTTTTCAAAAACGTTGGTCTAAAAGGCAGTTCTCGCCCGAAGACGCTTACCTCTGGTGCCACCTGCTGGCCACGCGTGGGAATGGGAACAGACTGGGCCAAGTGGCTGCTCTGTTTTTGGACTTGGTGAAGGCACTTTGCTGTTACAAGATCACGTGCCTTCTGGGCAAGGATGTGAAATAGCTCACGGGATTTACTCAGCTGCCGTGTCTGGGAAGGAACCAGGACCACCACGGGTCCTTCCAGACCTCGGTGATACACTGAGAATTTACGATCAGCAGTTACAAATCAGGCTCTCACTGCATATGACCTCGGGGCTGTGCCTGAGGAAATTAGCCTGTTTGTTAGTATGCGTTGGGGCTCCACCTGCAGTCAACAGCCCAGGCTTCTCCCATAACCATACTCCGAGAAGCTGAGCCCAGGTCTGGCATAGCAAAGCTCTCCAAATCAGGGTCGAGGACGGGTGGCAGAGATCGGGAGTTTGGGACGGACATGCTGTATTTAAAACAGACAACCCACGAGGACCTGCAGGACAGCACAGGGAAGTCTGCCCAACGCTCTGTAATAACCCAAGAGGGGAAGGAATCAGAAACAAACAGATGCAAGTGTGACTGCATCACTTCACTGTACACCCAAAACCAACACAGCACTGTTAATCAGCTATGTGGCTGAGAGGGCAAAGAATCTGCCTGCGATGCGGGAGACCTGGGTTCAACCCCTGGGTCAGGAAGATCCCCTGGAGAAGGGAACGGCCACCCACTCCAGGGTTCTTGCCTCGGAAATCCCATGGACAGAGGAGCCTGGCAGGCTGCAGTCCATGGGGTTGCAGAGTCAGAAACAACTAAGCAACTAACAAAACATGCTCCGATACAGAACACAAATTTTTTTAAAAGCCCTATCAAGGTCCGCATAGATTTGTGCTCTTGGAGTAGCCTAGGCTTCTGCATGCTTGATTAGTTTAAATTTAAACCATAAGGACAGCTCTCGGGAACAGCAGCCAGACCCTCTCGTTTTACAGCTGAGGACAGCGAGACAGTCGGTGTGACTCCATCAGTCCCTCAAGGGCACACACCTCCTTGGAGGCAGAATGGGGAGAACTGGGGTTTGCCCAGTTCCGGCTCAGGGTTTCTGCCGCCCCGCTCTGCAGACAATCTTGCTCTCTCAGATCAGCTTCAAGGGCATCCACCTCTTGCTCTTGAGGTCCACCCGACCCCAGCCTCACGCCCCAACCCCCCTGCCCTCCCCGTCCACAATTATTATCACACACTACCATGGTGATGCCCAAACTCCAGATGTCGGACTTCACACTGTATCCCTTCTGGTTGAGCTCTGGGTTTATTCTCTCGGGCTGGAAAGGAGACAGAAAAAGACAACTGAGATGACATTCTTGTCTCAGAAAAGTCTCGGGGGTGGGGTGGCAGTGGTCACCAAGTGAGCTGTTGTGAGCCATTAACATGCCTCCTAGGCCAGGAGTCTCACTCACGACAGTGAAGACCGACATCTCCACGGCGTTTACAGACATCTTTTCTTGGAGACGACAATGCATCAGAGTCCCCTCACAACTCACAAGCAACTTCAGTTTGGCCTTACAAAGAGCATGCTATACAGCATACCATTACTCTGCCCGCCTGGAGGTTTCCTCGTTTAAAAGACTGCCAACTTCCTTGGCGGTCCAGTGGTTAAGCATCCTCCTCCTGGGCGGGGGACACGGGTTCGATCCCTGGTCGGGGAACTAAGATCCTGTAGGCTGCAAGGCAACTAAGCCTGCACCCTGCAACTAAGACTCAAGGCAGCCAAATAAATGAATAAAATACCCACAGTCCAGACTCAGTAAAAACAATCCGCAAGGGTCGCTGGGCTACTGTCTGGTATTAACAGACCTCAACCACTTTTAGGTAATCGTGGCCACAAAGCTTTTAAATTCCAAGCACGTGTTCATTTCCAAATAGAATGTTTACAGTAGAAGTCCCTTAACTTAAAGGGAATCCCAAGGTCTCTGCCAAGAGCAATGAATCTTCATAGCTACGAGGCTCCCTCGAGACTAACCTAGTGGACTTGCTTGGGGAATTGAAATTCTTCTCTCTGTTCTACTCTCAACAAACAAGGTAGCACATCCCTGCAACCCAGAGTGGAACTGGGTGAGTTTTATGTAACGCTTTTTCAAAGAGTATACCTCTTCCTCTGATTTTTTTTTTTAATTAATGTAAGAGAAGGAAGGGACTCGGGATTTTAGACAGGAGATATCTCAGAAGAAGGTGCAGATACTTCTTGTGCCTGGGGCATATTTCAATGCTCCCTCCTTGGCCGCCCAGGTCGTGTTTCCTGGCAGGGTTTGAAGGCAGCTGCACTCCCAACGCCAGCCCCAGGCGCTGTACTCACGGCCATGTACGGTTTGCATCCGGCATCAATGGTTTTAGCCACGGAGTCGACCAGGTAGCCGCTGATTCCGAAGTCGCACATCTTCACCTGGCCCAGGGCGTTGATGAGTACATTGGAGGGCTTGACGTCTGCAAGCGGAGAAGGTTGGGAGACGGTTGGGAGCCTGGGGGCGCAGCAGCAGCTCTCTGCCTCCAGGGGGCCTGGGGCCTCCATGCCCGCCCCCCCCCTCCCCGCCCCGGCTCGCCCTCAAGGTCATCTGGAGGAGCAATGCCACCCCAGTTACACAACGCAAACTACACTCCGATAGAACGTGACTTTTTTAAAAAAGAAGGAAAAACATCAAAGCCTAGAAGAAAGGGGGAAAAGCAACTTGATTTCCTTGTCATTAAAATCTTTTAATGTTTTTCTTTTTATCGTGGTGGAAGTCACATAACATAAAGCATACTGTTTTTACCATATAACTGTCCGGTTCAGAGGCACCAGGTATATTCATACTGTCGTGCGAGACTCACCATCATCCATCTCCTGGATTTCCCACCTTCCTAAACTGAAGCGCTGTCCCCATTAAACACTCAGCGCCCATTCTCCCTGCCCTCCCCACCATCCTGACCTTGGCATCTACCAGTGTACTTTCTGACGCCATCAATTTGACTATTCTGGGTCCCTGTATAAGTGGCATCATCAAGCACAAAGCCTAGAAGAAAGGGGGAAAAGCAACTTGATTTCCTTGTCATTAAAATCTTTTAATGTTTTTCTTTTTATCGTGGTGGAAGTCACATAACATAAAGCATACTGTTTTTACCATATAACTGTCCGGTTCAGAGGCACCAGGTATATTCATACTATCGTGCGACACTCACCGTCATCCATCTCCTGGATTTCCCGCCTTCCTAAACTGAAGCTCTGTCCCCATTAAACACTCAGCGCCCATTCTCCCTGCCCTCCCCACCATCCTGACCTTGGCATCTACCAGTGTACTTTCTGACGCCATCAATTTGACTATTCTAGGTCCCTGTATAAGTGGCATCACCAAGCAGTATTTGTCTGCACCTACTACATACGGGAATGCATTTTTAAGGTTGACTTAATATTTTTACTTCGGTTTACAAAAGCAGAGTTTACTAAGTTGACTTGGGTTACGGAAAACTTAAAAAGAAAGACCAAGGACATACTTATATATACATGAAAGACAGACCCTAAAATGATAGTAACAGTGTTCAGCATGAGTAGAGTCACAAAAACATTTCTCATTAGCTCATCCGGTCTCATGTCATTAATTCTGGTTCTGATGGATCTTGGGTGAGTGGTCTGCTTTCTATTTCATGCTCTGTCCTTCTCGTCAGACTGAGAATCCATCAATGGAAACAACTGCTTCCTCTAATTTCTCATCTTCATCGCTCCCGTACAGGTGGTGAGAGCTTAGACCTTGAGGCCTGAGTGGAACGCCCAGTTCCCTGGGCAGACTGTCTCTGTTACGCTAGAGGCACAAGCCCTAGAGATCTGCCAATTACCACGCTGTTCCTGCCACGAATAAGACCGTGTTGTGCCCCCAGGCATTTATTATGAAGGTAGAGCTTGTGCTAAGGGTTCTGATGATGATAATGCTTTAAAAGCCCAGTTCATAATGATCTATTCTGCATTCAGTGGGCTGAAACGGCAGACGGAGACATAATACATCAAATATGCTTCTGCAAGAGCTGTGTCAGAAGTCACAGGCGTAACTCGTCACAAACCCAGATATTCCAGACCAGGAGGCGGGTCACAGAACATGCATGTGGGCAGAGTGGACTTCCCAGAGGAAAGAATCCGCCTGCAATGCAGCAGACGCAGGTTCGACCCCTGGATCGGGAAGATCTCCTGGAGGAGGAAATGGCACCCCGCTCCAGTACTCTTGCCTGGAGAATCCCATGGACAGAGGAGCCTGGTGGGCTACAGTCCACGGGGTTACAAGAGTCGGACATGACTGAGTGACTAAACCACCATCACCAGAGAGGGTTTACTTCACAGCTCTTAAATGAGCTCTTCAGTCTGAAAAGATAAAGACACCCTCCCAGCCAGATGAACCATCATTATGTATGGATGATGAAATCAGAAATTTAGAAAATAAAGTTAATTTTCTTCCTAAGTGACACGTTTCACAAAGGGCACATACTCAAAAGAAAAAAGTTACTCGAAAAACTTTAAAAATTATCCTTTGTAATTTTCCCTTAAACAGCAAATAGACAAATTTCATTTTATTATCTTCTACAGTTTATAAACATTCTCTGCTATGAATGAACCGTTTCATAACTTTGAAAAAAGTCTTTAAAATTCAGCTTCACATTGTGGGTAATCTGCATCCCTTTTCTTAACTGGATTCCTCCCCACTTTCCTTTTGACCTCTTCTTCCTTGACATTTTCCCCATTTTTGATAGTAATAGTCAGTAAAAGCATCGTAACAGGCATGTTTTTTGAGACATCTTACATTATTTCAGGCTCAGAGTATAACAATGATCAGGTCACAAGAACCTATCAGCTACCAACACTGTTCATACATTTTTTGGAAAGCTGAGTGTACATGCCTCTTCCGAGACGCATTCCTTGACTCTGCTCACCCAGTGCTGATCACATTCATGTTTCCTATTCTACCTACACAACTTCAGTGGTTGGTACTTTCGTATTTCTAACGTGGGTTTTTCCCCCCATGTGTCTGTTGTATATTTGCCTCACTCCCCTACCAAGAACTCCTATGTAGAATTTGGATAAGAACATATTTTCTTCATAGATACCTGTCAGGACATCTATTGTAGTGCTGTATAAATACAGTGCTGTATAAATGCTGGGAAATAACTACACAAGTTACACGGATGGATGAAGGCATGGAAGAAAGATGGAAGAAAGGATGTCTGGGTGGACGGATGGATGGATGGATGGATGGACGGATGGATGGATGGATGGACGGACGGATGGATGGATGGACAGATGGAAGGANCCCAAGGGGAGGTATTTTCTCCAACAATGGTATTCCTAGCCAGGAAAATACATGGAAGTCGTACGAATTAGACCCTGCCCACCAGAGAGATGACGCCAGAGTGCAGAGAGGCGGTCTCACTGGGATGTTCCGCTTCTCGACCTTGACCCCCAGCGTCTTTCCCCTCCTCCCTCCTGGGCCTCAGTAGCCGTGAAGGGAGCAGCTTCCTTGTCTTCTTGCCCCCTCCTGCGCCCATTAATCCTAAGAAAACATTTACAACTCCACAAACGAAAATCAAGATAAACCAGCATCAGAACACAGACACCAGGAAGGTGGTCCTAGCCGATGAACGTGCCGCTCAGAGGCACTTCAGCTGGAAGCCTCCCAGGCCGGGTCAGGAGCAGAACCTCGTGGAGGTCAAGCCCAGAAAGAGAAGCATCCATCGATCCATCCACAGACGCACTCGTGCAATCAACACACACAGACAGGACGGGTGCTCCGGTCCAGGCGGTGGTTCGGTACGGAGGAAACAGACACACACGAGGCCCAGACTTCCCCGCGCTCCTTGGATGGGGCTGGGGCTCGCGATGTACTCACAGAAACTGCTATTTTCCCTAAGATGTCCTCTGGAATTGTTTGGCCTTTATCGATCACTTGTTTGTAGAATTTATCTAGGGATGTGTCCATGAGCTCCATGCAGATCCAGACATCCCCCTGGAGGCCGGTTGGTTCGGAGACGGTCAGAGAGGATGGAAAGGGGAGAAAAGGAGGAAGCAGTTAGCATCTGTCAGGAGGAACGGGCCACTTCCTGCTTGAGTTTTTGGAGGAAATACACAGTGTCCTTTGAGATTTCAATGAAATTTATAAATGGGCAATATTACCTCCAAAAAGCAAGCTAGCAGACAGCCAAACAGACCGGCCTGTGATCACCCACTCCTTAATGAAAACTAGGTTCTAAATGCTAACACCCACAAGCTACAGGATCCCAGCGACCCAAGCCTTTACAGTTACTGTTATCTAAGACAGCAGTCTCCAGGCTTTTTGGCAACAGGGACCGATTTTGTGGAAGGTCATTTATCCATGGACCAGAGTCGGGTGGGGGGGCCGTGGCTTCAGGATGACTCAAGTGCATTACGCTTATTGTGCACTTGGCTTCTATTACTATCACATCAGCTCCACCTCGGATCATCAGGCATTAGATCACGGAGGGGGGGGGCCCTGCTCTGGGAGTGATGACCACTATGCCTGACTGCCCACACTGACCACTGGCAACAGTTTATCATTTAAAGGCTGGTTATAAGAGGGAGAGGAAAACAGATAACAATAAGGACCTATGTATAGCATAGGAAACTCTACTCAAATACTCTGTATTACAAGGCTATGAGGGGAAAAATATCTTAAAAAGTGCGAGTATATATACACATAGAGCTGATTCACTGTGTTGTATAGCAGAAACTAACAACACTGTAAATCAAGTATTCCCTAATAAAAAATTGTTTAGAAAGGGGAGGGGATGACAAGTCATATCATCGTAAAGTGAAAAGCAGAATTAGAAAAAAGAAGCAAATATGAGGCCATCCACTGTACAAGGCTGCCTGGAGCTTATCATGAGGCCAAAAGATCAGAGCATTTGAGATTTCAAAGGACTGATACAAATCCATCTGTAAATTGATAGAGACCGTTCTGCCAAGAGAGACAAACCAGAACAGGAAGGAGAAAGGGAACCCCAGCATTTTGAAAGGGCTAAACACATTGGAAAATATCATGGTTTCAAGCTAACTTTGCACCAACATTTCACAAGCATGAAACTCTCTACAGAAGACAAGTCGGACAAGGAAGCGCCCTGTGACTGCGCAGGTGTTTGTGTGATCGGGGAAATGTCTTTTTCAGTTACCGCTTGCCTTGCAGCTTTGAAGGGACTACCACCTACCTCTCGGAAGAGTGCGCCGTAAAAGGTGACCGTGAAGGGACAGTCCACGGTCCTCATGGAGATATCCAGATCCATCAGTAGCCGCTTCTGCTCTTGGCTGTTGACTGTGGCCCGGATCCGCTGATGGGAATGCATGGAAAATGGACCGTTACTGCCCTGAGGATGGGTCTGTCGACAAGGATCCCCTCCCGAGAACAGTAGGAAAATTCACAGTACAGCTGCTAGCAACAACTATTCAAATACCTACCCTAAGGGATGACCTATCTGTAACAAATGAAAAGTAAGGAAGACTGTTATTCATTTGATTTACCGAATAATCCCCAGGAGAGAAGCAAACTGATCATCTACTGTGGAGAGTGTGCAGATGTTTGGGAAGGCATTGCCAAGTTACAAAACAGTCTGGTTTATCCTGTGGGTTTAGTGCAAAGAGGCCAGAGTATTCATTGATTTGGGGTTGATTTGGGCTCATACAAAAAAGAAAAAAAAAAGCCGAAATTCCCTTTTTTTGAACAGGTAAAAATATTTGGACTAAATAGAAACTGCAGAAGAGTTAGTTGATTGAGGAATGGGATAAGGAGGAGTTGAACTGAAATGGAGACACTGTTCACGTCTCTCTCTGCTAAGAGAAGAGAGACTAACCACACCAGTAAACGCAGCCCCAGATACAACACGACCGTGTCATTAAATGACAAGACAATATGATATCACGAGGCTTCCACATTTTTTGCCTGCGGAGCAAAGGGCCTGCAGGAGAAAAAACTGAAAAATCTACAAGGTAAGCGAAAGATGCCAGCATTCTCCAAAAAGAAGGAATCCAGGTCATCTGACCGGCCACATGCCTGACAGCCCATCTAGAATGAACACACTGGGCCTGCTCCAAGGTCCTCCCAACATCTACTCAAGAAATATGCGATGATCCTAAATTTCTTTTTATAGCTCCAAAACTATGCAAATTTGCTCAAGATGACTTTACCCTCCTGTTTCCACAAATGGAGGCAATTTTGTGTCTCAGTTTGGGTTTCCTGATTTTCAGGGACAGATTCTTTAAAAGCAACAGAATAAAGTTTAAAAAGAGACTCGTGAGACACAAAACCAAATGCCATGTGTAAGCCTGCATTTGGATTCTGATTTGAAAAACCAACGGGAGAAAAAACAGCAATGACAGCTGTGGAACAATCAAGGTAACGTTCATTGGGACCTGGTAGTAGATGGCAGTGAGGGAGTACTGTGACTCTTTCACGTGTGATGATGTGGTCGGGGGTGGTGCTGGTTTAGTCACTAAGTCGTGTCTCACTCTTGCGACCCCATGGACTGTAGCCCACCACGCTCCTCTGTCCATGGAATTCTCCAGGCAAGAATACTGGCGTCAGTAGCCATTTCTTTCTCTAGGGGATTTTCCCAGCCCAGGGATCGAACCCACATCTCCTGCATCACAGACACAAGCCGCCAGGGAAGCATGATGTGGTGGTTGCATAAAACAATTAAAAAGAGGGGGGAGGATTCCGCGGTTCAAAAAAACCCAGTTGCTGCAACTCATACCAAGGAGGCATTTTTGACATATTTGGAGGGAAATATTGTTCACCACAAATAGGCTTTTCTGTCTCACCCCATGGAGGATTGTCTTACTTCTATGAAAGTAGCCCATTTGCAGCTGAGAAGGACAAACATACGGACCAGGACCAGAAAACGTCTGGGGAATGTGAACGCTACCTTCACCGCCATTATCTGCTCACTGGGCACGTGCCGCATCTTCTCCACCACCCCGTACGCCCCCCGNGTGATGCTATCTAACCATCTCATCCTTTGTGTCCCCTTTCTCTCCTGCCCTCAATCTTTCCCAGCATCAGGGTCTTTTCCAATGAGTCAGCTCTTCACATCAGGTAGTCAAAATATTGGAGTTTCAGCTTCAGCATCATCCTTCCGATGAATATTCAGAACTGATCTCCTTTCTGATGGACTGGCTGGATCTCCTTGCAGTCCAGGGGATGCTCAAGAGTCTTCTCCAACACCACAGTTCGAAAGCATCGATTCTTCGGCGCTCAGCAATAGGAAAAAAGCAAACAAACCAGACGCAAGCTACCCTGTCCTCCCTCTGGTTTCTCTGAGCAGTCCAAGGGTCTTTTCTGGTCCAGAACCTTCTGGCCTAGAAGCTTTGCCAAGCCACCACTGAAAGCAAGAAGAACCCGGGAGATGGGCAGATGCCCACCGCGGGCCCCCCGTCTGCCCCGGGCAAGACCGAGGTCCAGTTCCAGCTCAGGCTCCGAACGGCGCGGGGAGCCAGTGCTGACCCCGCACGGCGGGTCTTCACCTGCCCCTCAATGGCCCCTCAGGTCCGCTTGCTGACTCCTGGCGACTAGCTCTAGGCCTGGACTTCAGAGGGCACAGCCCAAAACGAACCATCTCTTCACCTCAGAGATCCCCCATCACAACCACAACCGATCCCAATTTGACATTTAAAATAGCAACTGCTCCACAGACCACTTCTGTTTACATCCAAACATTATTGACCCACCCCTGACAGCATGTTATGGAAAATACATTTTTTCCCACTGGTTGGTCGCAAAGTATACATATAAAAGGGTCAAGACATTAACCGGCAGATATGATTTTTCTCACCTGATTTCCAATAGAAATGCAAGCTTTGGAGTCTAAATCTCGAGGTGGCCTGCAAAAGAGAAAGGGAAAACATGAGATATTCAGTTGACCGTGACCTTCCCAAATCCTATGAGACTGCAGAGAGTTCTCCTTAAAAATAAGATGAAAGCTCATGAGTAAAATAAAGTAGCATAAACAGGTGAATAGTGGGGGATTTGGAACAAAACACATGTTCTTAGAAACCACAGTCTCTGAATTTCCATTTCTTCTTTCTTACAAAGATATTAGTACACGTCCTCCTGTGTTAAAGGAGGTGTTCTAAGCAAAATGCTTACTAGCAGAATGCTGGCATACATTCAAAAATAAATATGCATATATATAAACTATACTATATGTAACAGCATACATATATTATATAAAATAATTATATATAATATAACTACTTACACAGGGGCTTACAGGAATAGCCTAATTATTCACATAACAATACACATACACAAACACCCCTATAGCCTTCCTAGGTGGCACTAACAGTAAAGAATCCACCCACAATTTCAGAGGCCTGGGTTCAATCCCCGGGTCAGGAAGATCCCATGGAGGACAGCATGGCAACCCACTCCAGTACTCTTGCCTGGAGAATCCCATGGACAGAGGAAACTGGTGGGTTACCATGTATAATTCTACCCCTCCTACTGAAACTAACTAAATAAAACAATAACAAAAATGTAGGGACATGAACATAGATAATACATCAACCTAAGGTTTTAATGGCAATCTTTTTGAAAGGTATAGAAAACACAAACTAAGGCTTTTCTAAATTAATTTAAAACCCGGACTGAGAGGCAGGGATAAAGAGGAACACACACACATACATACATACACACACACATATATACACAAACACATACATATACATACATATACACCACACACACGCACATACATATACATACATATACACCACACACATACATATATACCTCACACACATACATATACACACACACACACACACACTGCACACAGAGGTGACGTTTTTGTAAATCCTGTGTTTCTAAGCAGGGAATTTTTCTTCAGAAACACCTTCCAGAGGAATCAAACTTTCTGAAAAATCTGATTTCTAACTCTTAAAACCTCCGAAGCTCTTTTTGTTTAGTTGTCATAATTTGCTCGTACTAATCGTAATGGAACCTTGAAATAAAGGCAAATATTATTTGAAATATGTGACTAATATAAACAGTGAAAAATCCTTTGCAATTGTTCAGACCCTTCCTTTTGTAAAGAACAAAGCAACAGGAAAGGTCACTAGTTAATCATTCGGGGCTACCTCCGAGGGCATGCCACCCAGCGAGGCTGCTGGGTGAGACCTCTTCCCACTCTGATATGCTAGCATTCATACAAGGGCCCCCCAAATCAGTCAGTGCGTGCGTGCTAAGTCGCTTCATCAGGGTCTGACTCTTTGACATCCCGTGGACCATAGCCCACAAGGCTCCTCTGTCCATGGGATTCTCCAGGCAAGAACACTGAAGTGAGTTGCCAAGCCCTCCTCCAAGGGATCTTCCCAGCCCTGGGATTGAACCCATGTCTCCTGCGGCTCCCACATTGCAGGAGGATTCTTAATCGCTGAGCTACCAGGGAAGCCCATAAATAAATTACAGTCTGTGACCCAGCTATGGGTGAATTTTACACATTTAAAGGGTTGCAAAAAACAAACAAGAATCTTCGGCAGAGGCCATTGTGGCCTGGTAGCCCCAAATATTTACTATCTGGTCTTTGGCACAAAAAGTTTGCTGATTCCAGTTTTATTCTAACCTTGCATTATAACTCTACCTAATAGGAGGGTTTTGTGCCATTTTCCAGAATGAGAAAAATGAAACCCAGAAAAACTCAGCGATATGCTGAACACAGTCCTCAACAGGGCTGAAAATAAAATTCATGTCATCCGAGTCTCAGCCTTGACCTAAGGAGAAGAGGGTATAGACCCTGAAAACTGGGTTAAGTGCTTTCCTTGCATTTCCTGTCATTGAAACACACACACACACACACATATACACCACACACACACACACACACGCACATGCACACACACACACACGCACACGCACACCCAGCAGTCACTGCTAACACATTCCAGATGAAAACCTGTTTGACTTAGACTTAAGCTATCTTGTTCCCGAGTGCTGAAGCTATGATTCAGTCCACACCCGACTGAACCCAAGGAACCTGCCCACCCAGACCCCCTCGAGTGTAACAGATCACCAACCCCACCACAAAGGCTTTGGGCCTGGCAAGGTGGCCAGAAGCAACAAGTGATGGCCTGAGGTGGACAGCTTGTCTTGGATTAGTTGACACTGTAACCAGCCCAGGGTACATTTGTCTGTCTAGGGCACTGAGGTTTAAACTGTGGGTGGACATTCTGTGTTACTTATTCAATATTTTAGTCCTCCAGGGAAAGAAGCGAACTTATTACACAACTCCTAACCCTGTGAGGCCAAAGGTATTCCAAAGGCCACCTGCTATGATTCTTTTATATAAACAGCCAGCTTTGGTTTATGAAAATATTTATTTATACTTCTACATGAGTAACGAGTTTACTGGTTACTATTACAATTATTATTTGCCTGGGATTCCCCGGCATCTCAGCAGTAAAGAATTCTCCTGCAATGCAGGAGACTTGGGTTCAATTCCTGGGTGGGGAAGATCCCCCTTCAGGAAAGCATGGCAACCCACCCCAGTATTCTTGACTGGAGAATTCCATGGACAGAGGAGCCTGGCGGGCTACAGTCCCTGGGGTCACAAAGAGTTGGACATGACTCAAGTGACTGAGCATGCATGCATTATTTGCCTATAAATAACAATATTTACTTATTATCTAATGATAATATAAAGCACCTACGTGGGCCATAGACCATGCAAGACCCTTTAAATCCAAAGTCTTTTTTAATTTTCACAGCTCTCAGAGGTATTAGCTTTACTTTTTCAAAGATTTATTTAACTGTGCTGGGCCTTAGTTGCGGCATGTAGGATCCTTAGTTGTGGCGTGTGGGGTCTAGCTTCCCGACCAGGGATTGAACCTGGGCCTCCTGCATTGGAAACACGGAGTTTTAACCACTGGACCACCAAGGAAGTCCCAATATTAGCCCTATTTTAACGTAAAAAATTGACACCGACACAGACTAAAAATTCAAGGTCACTCAGTGAGATGGTGACTTTGGAACACAGAGCCACGCCATGAAGTCTTCTCAGCTACAAAGTAAGAGATCCCGCCTCTCATGGACTATTTGGCTCTGGTCGCCAGCAGTCTAACATGTGGCTAAGAGCACGTACTTGAGGGTCAGAGAGCCCTCAGTCCGTATGCCAGCTCTCCCACTTATTAAGTGAAATAATAATAATAACAACAACGCCGAGAGCCACATCATTGAGAAATTACCCTGGAACAAGCCCTGGGCTGGACACTTAATATGGACCGTGACATGTAATCCCCATAGCAACCACAGCCATGTTTGTTCCTGTTTTTCACAGGGGGAAACTAAGGCTTAGGAAACTTGGGTGACTTGCCTCAGATATTCAAGCAAGGAAGCTCAGCTCCCAAATGTGAACCCACGTATTCCAGCACCAGAGTCTGGGCTCTCTGAGGTCAGCGGCTTTGAGAAGGACACCTGAGCCCGGGACAGGTCTGCCGTCTCACTTATAAAGCGAGCAGAGTCTCTCGTGAGGATTAACTGAAAGAATGCTGGCCAGCACAGAATCAAGTTAGAACTAGGAATAGTTGCTGCCCATCCAGTGGGGGAACAGCCCAGAGACCCGAGTCACAGACACTGATTCAGGGACTCCGAGAGGAGGCCACACGCATGGCCCGAAGAACAGGCTGTCCCAGCCTATTTGCGTGCGGTCCAGCAGGAGGTGGCCGGCTATAAATGGCAAAAATCACCAAGCCAGCCTCAAAAAACTGCCAAGGAAAACTCAAAATGCGGAAACCACTTCTTGAGGAGCACAGATTTCAGCCTCAGTATTAATATAATAACAATAACAACAACAGTATATCACAAGCCTTTCCTGAGCTGACGTGAGACCGTTGATACCACAGAGCGACCCCGACTCGACATGATGAAACGGAAGCGTGTAGTCAAGGTTTGTCCCACCACGCGAGGGTTAGACAGCAGAGAACCTACCTTTACTTTTGCATAGCTTTTTATTCATTTTTTAATGCCAAGTGAGGGTTTATGTTAGTTTTCAGAAATTTACTAAAAACACAGACTATTAATATAAATTAGAAGAAGGGAAAGACTAGCAGATTTTTAAGGCAAGACGAATCTAAGATAGCTGGAAGGCTGATATGAGAATATATCCCAAAGGAAATAATAAAGATAAGAGCAGAAATCAATAAAATTGAAAGCAGGAAAATAAAAGTTGGCTCTTTTAAAATCAATAAAATGGATAAATCTCTAGCAAGACTAACACAGATAAAAAGGAAGAAGACATGGATTGTCAGTATCAGTAAAAAAGAAGACGATGTCACAATATATCTGTCGTCATTAAGAGAATAACAAGGAAATACCATGAGCAACTTTACTTTCATAAATTCAAGAACTTAGAAGAAATGGGCCAATTCCTTGAAAATCACAAACTACCAAAACTTAGCCACAATGAGATAGATCATCTGAATTATCCAATAATTATTAAACCAATTGAATGTGTCATTAAAAACCTCTGGAAGAAGAAATATACAAGCCCATTTTGTCTCACGGGAGAAACTTCAGCAAATTTTTTTTTCTTAATTGCATATATGAAACCATTATTTTGTAACCTGAAACTAAAATAGTATTATATATAAATTATAGCTCAACATTGTTTTTTAAAGAATTACCACCTATCTTATACAATGTCTACCAGAAAACAGAAGAAGGTATTCTAACCAACACATTTTATAAGGTCAGTATTATCTTAAATACCAAAACCAGAACATAATAGCACATACACATATATATACACACACAAAGCCTCTATAGATCAACATCTCTTATCGACTTCAGCCACAAAAATCTTCAATATCTGCAGAAATTAAATCCA